GTAAAGGTACAAGATCCCAATGATGAATGTAACTGTGTTCCTAAAATGTACAAAGAAAGTGAATAAAGATAAAATACACTGGTAATTTCATTACATTTAAAAATTTTCCTAAACTATGACTTCTCTGACACTACATGAGCTATAAATTTATTTGTTACCTTTTCAATATTTACGTACTTGCCAATGAAAGCAAAAATAAGTCCATAGTACACTGTGAAGGAGGTAAAACTGGTTATTCCTCAAATTAATCTAATTTGAAACATGATATTAATAATCTGTATCTCGCATATTAAAAACCCATAAATGTATATTCTATGTATCAAAATATAGTGATCTAGATGGTAAGATGTTATGAGTATTGACATAGTTATTTCTAGCAAAATACTTCTAAACTGATGAATTATTAGGAATGTCTTAATAAATTTTACAGTAACATTAGATATTAACAGATTCTTCATTACCTTTGTTTGTTGCCTCAAATATGAGGGTAAGCAATACTGTATATGCATATTATTATTTGGAGAAGACAAATTAATTTAGTTTCTTTAAATTACCTATAAAATTTATTCAGGTGTACAGAACAGGAATGAAAAAGTAATTTTATATTCAGATTTTCCAGAAGTAGACTGCAGTTCATGATGTTTGTAAGGAGGTGTTTTGTTTTGTTTTGTTTTGTTTTTGTCTAAATCTCACTGTGTTAGAGCACAGTACTAAAAATAAAAAGAAAGCATTATTTATGAACTTGTTAATCGCAATATAAAACCATTATGTGCCTTCTTTTGTTTTCTTTTTAACCTCAATTTGCATTTTTTTACTGCTATGAGATTGAGTTTTTAAAAACGCTAAACTCCAATTACAAATATCCATCATAAGTTTCGATTTAGGAAATACTTTTTCTAAGCAAAAGTTGACATGATTTTGCACTTGTTGGGTGAGTATAGTTAAACACGTTAATATTAGAATATACAAACTTAAGCCTTAAATGTATAAAGTTTACGATGTGTTAATATTTGTAAGAATTTATGAATGGAATGGACTTTTAAAATTATTTAAAAGTAACTTACTGAAAATATTTTCATTTTAAAAAATCATTTCTTATTTACATAACTTTATGGATTTATGTCACTTCTACATTTGAAATAATTGGCATTGACTTGTTTTATATTTAATATGCAAAAGAGTTTTGAATGGTTTATTTTCCCTGACAATTCTATTTGCCCTTTTGCTGAGTTTTTACTTCTGTTGCTGGGCAGAAATCCACGAGTAGTTAAGCGGAACTATTTAGTGCTGCTTCAGTCACAATTCAATTCCAGCCGCATGAAGAAGGTTCTTTGAATCCAAAAATCCTTCCAAAGTTTGCTGCTTATGTAGTTGATTTCCCAGGAGAGCTGAGTCACACAGAGAAATAAATAATCTTTTTTTTTTAATTTTATTGAGTTTATTGGTACATTTTAGGGATACAGTACAGTTACATTCATTGTTGGGATCATGTACCTTTACATGACAGGTCTTGATTCTCATTTTTTCCCCTTACCTCTGCCCTCCCTTCACCCCCTCCTCCCCTCCCCATCTACAAATCGGAATTTGAGATTTCACACCAGTATTATAGTTACCATTTTTCCAAAAGTTAAACATAGATAGACAGACAGACAGACAGATAGACAGATAGATAGACTGTTTTTTGGGGGGGAGGTACCGGGGATTAAACTCAGGACCTTGTGCTTGAAAGGCAGGTGGAAGCAGCACTGAGCTAAATCTTCAGTGCTACACTTTCTTTTTCTAATCCAAATAAAAATAATACCAGATATATTTACCCACTAATATTGGCATTTATGTTAGAAAACCCAGTTTGACGTGTCTAAAAGGAAAAAAATTTACCACTATACAAAACATTATGTATTTCCAGAATGTTCAGAAGTGATAAAATTCCTCAAATAGTACACGTTCTGCCACTTTTTTTTTTTTTCAGCAGTGTGCTGAGAACAGTTTCTTCTCATCTTTCTTGATATTTACTTAAGGAACACTGAGGTTGAATAATATGTTCCAGTTTAAGGTCATCTGATTTTCAGATATAGAAACATATTTTCTTAGAATAACTAAAAATGAACAATTTCCTCAAAACCAGTTAACAGCAGCTTACTTTAATGATAAAATAGCCACAAAAACAACTCATCAAATTGGATTCTTTTTAGTTTGACAAAAGTTCACATGTTCAAAGCAACTCAACCTAATTCTCAATATCAACCTTAGGAAAAATGTTATTCTAGGAATTCTTCTTGATATCAACTCAACCCCCAGAAAAAAGTAAAGTGTTATCAGCATAATGTGATTGCATGCTTTTAAAGAGACCAAGGAGACCCATGGATGTTACTACTCTGTAACATGTAGAATGAATGTCTCTGATTATCTTAATACCTGTACCTCTGCTTATTAAAATTACATTTCCAAAAATCTGGGCATGGTGGCACAGGCCTGTAATCCCAGCACTCGGGAAGCTGAGGCAGGAGGATCGCTGTGAGTTCGAGACCAACCTGAGCTACACAGTGAGTTCCAAGTCAGTCTCAGCAGCATAGTGAGACCCTGTCTCAAAAAACCAAAACAAAAAAAAATTAAAAAATTAAAAAAAAATTACATTTCCATGTTTAACTTTCTTCAGTTAATATATAGTTCTTTTTGGAACAATCAGTATACATTGATCAATTCCTTGCCTTGATTACACAGTTGTAAGTGATACAGTTTGTCTCGTTAGAGGAATTATTTTTATCAATGTGTTCATTTATTTGTTTGAATGCTCTGTACTTCATAGTCTCGGTCTGTGCTTTACTATTAATATTTTCTACCATGTTTATGCATGTGTACTTAGAGACTGTTTGAGAATATTATACCTCATCACTGTTTTCTGCATATCTGGCTGACAAATTTTGTCTATGAGTGACACACAGTTATATGACAACAAGTGTGATTAATTTTATAATATCTCTAGCACAACAATCACCTACCCTGTATTTTCAAGCAAATTTTCATATTTTTTGACCTCACTGTGGAAGTGTTGTGTGGAAAATGGCATACTTTACTGCTAAATCTTTTCTTTCTTTTTCTTTTACATTTTTTCTATATCGTATTATACCGTTCCCATTACTTTATATTTATGCTGATTTATATCAAATTTATGTTATCAATTCAGGAAACATTTTTGAAATCCACATCTATATGTAATCTTTGTTTCCCCTTGCTTACATTTATGTAGTTGCCATCTTAGACATATGATGTTTAAGGAATCAATCTGAACTCAATTGCTTTTCCTTAACTCTTTTCTCCTTTAAGTAAATGGGCCTAACAATTTCATACCGAAAATAATGCACAATCACCCACACACAAGGAAACCATTTACAGTTTTTCTCCTTTACAAATGCCACTCCAGAAGTTTTAGATAATCTGTATTTAATATATATCCCCATTTTAAAATTCATACCATTTATATCTATTTTTACATCTTTGTCAAAGAAGACTTCAATTATCTCTTTTAAATTGTTCATATCTTTCTGCAATCTAAGATCTGAAATAACCATTAGAAAAGAAAAGATAATTACTCCATTTAAATAGTTTTGGAGATTATCTAGGAATATTCCTAGAATGTATAGTAATTATAAACTGCATTATTTATGCACATGCATGGTCCTAGATTTTGCTGAATAAGAACAATCCCAAAACATAATGATATGAAAACCAGGCGTGGTGGCGCATGCCTGCAATCCCAGCACTCAGGAGGCTGAGGCAGGAGGATCACTGTGAGTTCGAGACCAGCCTGAGCTACATAGTGAGTTCCAGGTCAGTCTCATCTACATAGTGAGACCCTGTCTCAAAAAAACAAAAAGAAAAAAAACAAAACATAATGATATGATGAGGAAGGAAAGCAGGAGGGGAAAGGTAAGGGAAAGAATATGAAGGGATCATAAATGATCAAGACGTGTTACGAGAACATTCATTCCCCAGAGCAATCATCACTATGCATTACAGACATGCACTAATTTTGCAAAGAACATAAGGAATCCACCTTAGAGAAATAAATGAACATTTAGATCTCCAGTGTATGTGTCTGTGGACAGCAGAACTCCAGCCTTTGCTTGCAGTTCTGCCAACCAAATCTCCACCTTTTCTGGGTAGCTCTCCTTGGCCGGGGAACTTCACTGCATCAGTCCTACCTCATGGGTCTCTTCCTACTACCAGAGTGAGTGGGGCAGGCCAGGCATCTTCTTCTGGTTGAAATGGCAGGGCGTAAGTGAAAACATGGAAGGGTTATGAAACCAACACCCGGGAAAGGGTGATTACAGTCACCTACAGCTCAAACTGCTGCCAGAGAGAGGTGGAGGACAAAGCTCATATGAAAAAAAAAAAAAAATCCCTGCCAAGTTATAAGAGTTAGGATAGCACCATTTGTGATCTGTAATTTCACTTCCTTTGACCTTTTTCTTATTACTTAACTAATTGAAGATTGGGTTAAATAAAATAATGAAGGTGAAAAGGTAATCATTGTCAAAGTTTTCATCTTACACTTGCCTTCAAATCTCAGATGTGATGAAATTCCTACATAAATTCATCTCTGAAATCTGTGATCTTAAAAATGTTGTTCATGCAACAAGGACATGTTATACTGTTCCATTTTTTACTTCCAGCCTATTACAAAATCTCCTGAAGCCATTTCTTGCTTCCTTATTAATCCCTGTGATTCTGCTGTAGACTTCTATTTCATGAAATTGGATAAAATGTTTAAATTAACATTTGAATATTTATAAACAATATAGCTAAGTGATAAGGACTGAGTGAAATATATTTATTGTAGCTTCCATGTTAAATATTTGTTTGTGCAAATCTTAAAAGTCAAGATAGAAATTAAAGTGTATTTGGATATTTTACTGCATTTGATTTAGTTTTTCTTTCAGTTGTATCTTCATTATAGCTTTAAGAAAAAGGAAGAAATATGTCCTTTTTATTTCCTTTAGATATTTCATCAACTACAGTGTTGAAGAGGACAGATTTTTCAACATTGATGCCAATACTGGAACCATTAAGACTTCCAGGGTTCTTGACAGAGAGGAAACTCCATGGTACAACATCACAGTTGCTGCTTCAGAAAATGGTAAACTTCCTTCTGTATTACAGAGTGCTGGGTCACTTGTTAATAAGCTTGAAATACAGACTTCCATGAGAGTAGGGTCCAAACCATTTTTGTTTTTGCTGTGAAAATGTAGCAAAATTTAAAAAGCATGTGAGATAAATCCTCTTATTGTTGGATTGAGCAAATAACACTGATGCCACTTCCTTTACTATACGTCCAGAAGAGTTGTAAAACATAGAAAAGACACAACCCTTAGTCTTTAACCTTGAGTCAAGAGTGTTTGATTCTCTTCCTAATTGTGAGACTTTCTATTCTATGTGTGTGTGCACTATAATTAATCCATGAAGTCATTGGATGAAAGTTATTTCATATGGAGAAGTTATTTAAAAAAGATTTAAAGATCTATAATTGCACTTGGATAAATTTATCAGAATACCATAGTTTAAAATCCAATTAGCCTTTACAGAGAGTAAACAATGACCTGTAGGAATTCTACAGCAGGTCTAAGACTTCTTCAAGAAAAGCCTATATATAAATTTGAGCAAGACTTTTGTGTCACCCCACACTGAGGATATTGCATAGTGATGAATAAATACATTCAGAAGAATGAAAGAATAAATATCAATAATTATGACTGTGTTACAATCAAATTAGAACAAAACTTTTAGCGAACAGATTCACACTTGTGACGATATGGTTAGGATTATATATTGGATAACAAATTCATCAATCAATTATCCCCAGTTTACAGTTGTATGGAAATTTATATAAGCTTTAAAACAAATTTCAACACATAAACTTGTCACAGCTCTAAATTTCTTAGAGATTAGGCACATATCTAACACAAAAATAATAGTAAAATGAAATTGTGTTCTTTCTTTTCCTCCAGAGATTATAGGATATTAAAACTATAGATTCATTTAGATGTAATTTACATAGTCTACAACATGCCTTGTCTCTCATCCTCCAACCTACCCATTCCAGGAAACCATTAACCTGCACTCTGCTCTCTGTACACTTGCTCATTATTGGTATTATATCATATATTATAAAAGAACTGCACAATATATATCCCCTTATGACTGATTTCTTTCACTTAGCATCACGGTTTCAACAATCGTTTGTATTGTATTATGTGTTATCTCTAATCCATCCTTTTTACTTACAAAAACTATTCTGTTTTGATATTCAGCATTTTATTCAGTTATCTGTCATATCATATACTCTTCTGTCGTGTCACTTTTTGCCGAATGAGATCAATGCTGCAGTGAGCATTAGTGTGCGAATTTTTGTGTGGACCTGTTTTCATTTCTTTCATAAGGTATAATTCTACAAATTTATTTTTCACAGTTTTACTAGCATGTGTTTGCAGTACATGCAGTTTACAATATCTCTGTGAGTGGCTGCATGTACATAAAAGAGCTTGTTTCATTTTTTAATCCACTTCCTCTTACCTCTCACCTCCCTCAGTCCCTCTTTAAATTCCTTTTCCCCATTTTTATTCTTGTTGACATTAGTAATTTTATCTGACATTTGTGGCATATGTGTTAACATTTATTGAGGTTGCTGGAGTCCTGTACATTTCTCTTGTATATGTATCTAGGATTGGTATTCTGGGTCACATAGATACTATCTGATCAACTCTCGGTTTTCAGGGTATTCCTCTTTTTTTTTTTTTCTCATTGAGTTTATTGGTACATTTTAGGTACACAGCACAGTTCCATTCCTCATTGGGATCTTGTACCTTTACAGGACAGGTCTTGGTTCTCATTTTTCCCCATACCCCCACTCTCCCTTCAACTCCTCCCCCTGCCCTGTTTACAAAGATTTTGTTTCCATTTTTTCCTTTTCTCATATTTTTTCCTTTCCCTTATTAGCTTTCCCCTACCCTTCCCACTTCCCCTACACCTTTAGTCCTTTTCTTCCTATTTCACATTGTCAGTTATACAATTTGGATCTTATTTACACTTTTAGTTTTTCAAACCAGAGAAACTATTCAGTATTTACACATGTGTGTTTTCCTTATTTCCCTTAAGAGTATGGCCTCACTATGCATCCATTTTCCTATGAATGACTCTAGTTTCTTTATGGCTAAGTAGTATTCCATTTTATAGAAAAACCACATCTTCTTTATCCAGTTTCCAATTGATGGGCAAATGGGCTGTTTCCAAGTTTTAGCTATTACAAACTGTGCCACTATACACATGGGCACTCATATATCACTGTGATATGATTATTTTAATTATTTTGAAAAGATGCCCAGCAGAGGGCTAGCTGGGTCAAATGGAACCTCTAATTCTAGTTCTTTGAGGTATCTTCCTACAGTGATTGCACCAGTCTGCACTCCTACAAACAATGGAGAAGGGTTAAACCTGCACCATTTTCCATTCTTCAAATTACAGAATTCCAAAAGCTCCATATTATCACCAGCATTCCAAAACTTTTTTTTTCATTTTGATCATAACTATTTTCATGGATATAAAGTGATAACTCATTGAATTTATGAAATTTTCCATTACCTTTTATAAATCAATGATTAGACTACCTCAATTTTTTTTTTTTTTTGACTGGGGATCAAACTCAGGACGTTGAGCTTGTGAGGCAGGCATCAGCACCACAGAGCTAAATCCTCCAACCCAATTTTAAAATTTTCTACTCTACCTGGAATTTTTGTATTATTTGCACAGACAAAATCAACTCAGTGGCTTCCATTCAGTGGACCACATAATATTCAAACAAGCATATCCTAATTATTTTTAAAGGAGTATTATAAAGAATACATGCATGAGTTTTTTTGTTATCCTTCTGGTTAATTTTCATTTTGAGAGTAAGCAGACTGGGTATGTGATTGATGTCTTTAAATAGTCATTAAATAATGAATCATTACAATCAATGGAAAAACTGAAAGTATGAGGAGGTTAAGGAATCCAAAAATAAGTGACGAGAGCATTGAGCAGAACTTTCTGAGAAGTAAAAAAACTCTGGTGAAATTTAGATCAAAAACTGTACTTTAGATTAATTCTTATTCATACCTAAGCCAAGTAATGCTCACATCACTAGAGCTAATTTATAAATATATACAAGTGAATGTATATCATGAAAACTATTGCTTATAATCATTACCAAAGAAACATCTGCTTCTACTAAAGTAACCGAGTAACTATACATGTATAAGATAACTTCTTGCTTCTATTATTTGCTAGTACTTATGAGAATTGAGTTAATATATAACTACTGAGTAAAACAGTGCAGTAAATTTCAATTTCTTGACTTTTATAGGTGGTTACAAAAAAGCTTTGGAGAGTATTTCAGTGTGTTGTGGAAATATAATTTAATCCTAATTATAAACAGGCGATTAGAAAGTATAAGCATTAGTTAAATGTTATAGCCATGTTGGGAGAGTGCTTTTAGGATAATGCACAGTCACGCACAGATGATTTGTCCTAAGTGCCTCTCACCATTGGTGGGAGCTTTTCTGTGTATAATTGTTTATAAGTCTCAACTTCAACATCAGCCACATTATCTAAATATTTTCTGATGCATTCTATGGACTTGTAGGCTTTTCAGATGGGATTTTTAAAAATCCTACTTAATTAAAGAGCTTCAGAAGAGCTTTCTGTGCAATTGTTTTTAATATGGGTTGAACATGCTTTTCAGCCTACCTAGAGGTGTGGACAAGTTGAAGAAAGTTGCTCTTTGTAGGCAGAGGAGAGGATGGACCAAGACTTAAGAGCACAAGACATCAAAGTAAAGGTGTGCAAGTAACAATTGCTTGCCCTTCACTGATCACTGAAAATTTAGATAGGAACCTGCTGATTGCTCAGCTGCTTAGTCACTTGGTAGAGACAGGAAACACATTTACAGAAGGTGATTCCGTTTATTGTTGCTGCTATGCACAACTGTAAGTTACCTCATATTTACGTGGCACAATTTTACAAACAAATGAGTCCTAACAAAAAGTTTGTGAAGGGAAGATGACAGACATTATGCCCACTTCACAGATGAGGAGAGTGGGAAACAAAAAAGACAGGAAGGTAAGTATTCCATTTTTAGAACAAGGTAGAGTGCAGCTTCTAGAGAAGCTGAAATTCCCTGAGCCCAAGCTTCAGTCAGGGATTTCTGCTAAGATTTAATTTTATTATTTATTTTTAAAATCATATTGTGAGGTAAGTTTAAGTTATCAACTCCATAGAGGACAATATGAATCAGATAAATTCAGTAAGTTTCATATATTTAAAGAGTGAAGGGGGTATTGTATTATCATTATATGTCACAATTCTTGGAGAATATATTTTCTAAATTTACAAAAAAAACCTATGAAACAAATTCATTATAGGCAGTAATGGCTCCTTCTGTGTATCTCATAACACAATTACCTGGAAGCTTGCATTCTTTTGGTTTGTTAATAGACAACTGCAGGCTATCTAGGTAGGTTTCATCAGCCTCTTTACTTAGGGGCCATCATGTTAAAATCATATTTTAAGCGGCATAGCCTCTTATCTGGTAACTCTGGGCAGTTCTAATGTCCAGTTCATTCTTGGAAGAAACCACTTCCTTGTTGAAATGGCAGTGAGCTCTTGTTTCCTTGATGGATATTAGTTGGGACAGCAATTTTCATCTAGACTTTAGTGGAGGAAAACCTATACACACAAGCTGAAATGAGTTGTTTGCATCATTGTAAGCTCTAAAATGCTCACTCTCACTGGAAAGATGCCTGTGTTCCTCTCACATGAACCTCACTTCCTGCGAACAAACATGAGCTCGCCACATCCTTTTACCTCTTTGAATTTCTTTTCTCTTATCAGGTAGACAAGTTGTCTGTTTTCAATGGTTTGCCTGATTGGGTCATGGCCGTTCAATAATTTCTGTATTTTACAATCAACTGATTTGATTTGCAAAACTCTTTTACTAGAGTTCATAGATTGGTGGTTGATTCAAGTATCAAGGGATTGGAACCTAGTAATGTCATTAGAACTTTGCCTGCTATTAAGGTATAATATGTGGCAAAAATCGGAACATTA